TTTGTTTTAAGATCTACTTGCTCCAAAAAAGACATGAGACTGTCAAACAAAACATAAAAAAAATAGATCAAACATCAAACGACAATGAAATCTGGATCTTAAAGTTCATGTCATTTCCAGCAAAAGGTATACATTCATTCAGTGCATGATCTGAACATTTTTTTTGACATTTTTCATTAATTTTCCAGCAACATACACGGGTTTAATATTGTATCTAAAAAAAAGACATCATAAAAAAAAAAAAACCAAACAAACAAACATGGCAGATTCTTAAAGGTAAAATAGATCTAGATTTGATGGGAGGAATCCCACCCACGGGATCAAGCTCCCACCATTTCCTTCACCATTTCCCTGAAAGAACCTTCTGTGTCCAAGCTAACCTATCAAGGAAGAACACCCAGAAAATGCAGCTCCAAGTAACAGTCGCTCCTTTGATGATTTCCTCTCCCAACCGCCACTTCCCTCAAACAAAAATCCTTCTTTTCTGCCGCCGTTCTCAATATCCAGCTCAGACAAAAGACCCCTCCTTTTTTTTTTCGAAACCCAGAGCAATGAAACCCGAAAGAATTCCCAAAATCAAACCCCAAAATCAACCAAAAACCCACGCTCCTTTACTCTGCTTTTGCCCTATATATATACCCAAACAACAAAATAAAATAAAAATGAAAAAACAATCACTAATGATGCCAATTTTGTCTGGCATGTGCTGTTTTTTTCTGTAGGTGAGGTAGGGGCAGGGCTGTAGCAAGCAAGAGTGCAGAGGCGCGAGATTGGGGCGCAAAGTGCAGGAGGTGCGGCAGAGTGCAGGCTGGGGTGCAGCAGGGCAAGCACGGGCGTAGCAGGATGCAGCAGAGGCGCAGGCGCAGAGTGCAGGCGATCTGGGCACAGCAAAATGCAGGCTGGGGTGCAGCAGGGCAAGCAGGAGCGCAGCAGGGGTACAGGCGTGCAGGGGGTAGGGCGCGATGCAACAGGGCGCAAGCTCGGGTGCAGCAAGGCGCAGGCTCTGGTGCAGCAGGGCGCAGGCTCGGGTGCAGCAAGGCGCAGGCGCGGGCTCAACAGGGTGTAGGCCCAGGCGCAGGCGCAGGTGCAGCAAGCAAGGGGGCGCAGCAGGGCTTGATCGCGTTTGATGGCTGCTGGCTGAAAGGAAGGTTCGGGGGATCAGAGAGAAAACGCTGAAAGTGGAGGTGAGGAAGAAGTTTCCAGATCCACTTTTCTTTCTTTTTTTTTTGGGTTTTTGGGTTTGGGTTTTGGGTAGTGGATGGGCTTTGAGTTTTGGATTTTTAGTGGGCTCAATTGAAATGGGTTGGTGTTGGGTTTGCAAATTTGATGAATTTCACCCTCAAACTTTTGATTCCTTCAACTGAGTCCTTTCTCGAGTTTCTTTTCTTCATTTTCTTCTTGAGTTTCTTCTTTTTGCATGTAGCACCTGAAAGAAAAATGAAGATATATTAGTTAAAGGAAAGAGGAAATTCATATTTTTATATTTTTGTGTTATTTTTTTTATTTTTTTTGATTAATTTTGTGATTAATATATATATGAAAAGTCTAAATAAACTAAATGAAAAATCAAGTTATAACAGTTGGCTCCTCTTTACCTTTTTTTTTTTTTTTTTTTTTGGTTAGAAAAGAAAAGTAGAGATAAAAGAATAACCCAATTTTCACTAAAACATAGAGAGAAAGATAGAATAAGGAAAGATCTTACTTGTAAGCTTGATTTTTGGGCAATTGGAAATAAAAGAGAGAAATGATAATATGAACTGTAAAGAAATGTGATGTCAAGCAGATGAAAATGAAAAAAAGCCGCTTGTTGGGCAAGTATGAAATGAAAAGCCGCATGTTGGGCAAATGAAATGCTAGCCGCATGTTGAGCTAAATGATATGTAAGGCTGCGTGTTGGGTTGAATGATATGCAATGCTGCATGTTAGGCATAGATGAAATGCTAGCCGCATGTTGGGCTAATGAAATGCAAGCTGCATATTGGGCTAAATGATATGTAATGTTGCATGTTGGGTATAAATGATATGCAAGCCACGCGTTGGGCTAAATACAATGCCGCATGTTGGGCATAAATGAAATGCTAGCCACATGTTAGGCTAAATGATATGCAATGCCGCATGTTGGGCATAAATGAAATAATAGCCGCGTGTTGGGCTAAATAATATGCAAGTTGTGTGTTGGGCTAAATGCAATGCCGCATGTTGGGCATAAATGAAATGCTAGCTGCATGTTGGGCTAAATGAGATGCAAGTCACGTGCTGGGCTGATGAAATGCTAGCCGCGTGTTGGGCTAAATGATGTGCAATGCCACATGTTGGGCATAAATGAAATGCCAACCGCATGTTGGGCCAAATGAGATGCAAGTCGTGTGTTGGGCTGATGAAATGCTAATCGCGTGTTAGGCTAAATGATGTGCAATGTCGCATGGTGGGCATAAATGAAATGCTAGCCGCATATTGGGCTAAATGATATGCAAGCCGTGTGTTGAGCTAATGAAATGCTAGCCGCATGTTGGGCTAAATGAAATGCAAAGCTGCATGTTGTGCTGATGAAATGCAAGCCGCGTGTTGGGCTGATGAAATGCTAGCCGCATGTTGGGCTAAATCATATGAAAGCCGAATGTTGGGCTGATGAAATGCAAAACCGCATGTTGGGCTGAATGAAATGCAATGCTGCATGTTGGGCATGAATGAAATGCTAGCTGCATGTTGGGCTGATGAAATGCTAGCTGCGTGTTGGGCTAAATGATATGCAAAGTCGCATGCTGGGCTGAATGAGATGCAAGCCACATGTTGGGCTGAATGAGATGCAAGCCACGTGTTGGGCTAAATGATATGCAATGCTGCATGTTGGGCATAAATGAAATGCTAGCTGCATGTTGGGTTAAATGATAGGTTAAACCCCCTTTTTGGTCCCTCAACTATTGTACGGACCCCCGATTAAGTCCCTCAACTCAAAAAATCCCTGACTTGGTCCCTACTGTTTACCACTTTTACCCCAATTTGGTCCTTCCGTTAAAAATCTCTCCACCTGTACTGTTAATTCACGGTAAGATGATGACATGTCAAAATTTTAATCCACGTGGAAGACAACATGGCAAAAGCTAGTGACATGGCAATAAAAATTTTAAAAATTCTTTCTCCTTCCTCGTTCCCTTTCTCCTTTCTCCTTTCTCCTTTCTCCTTTCTCCTTCCTCCTTCCTCTTCATTTCCTGAACCCAGAGCTTGGGATCCTTCAAACCCAACTAGGCGTTCCTCGTTCCCTTTCTCCTTCTTCTTCCTTTCCTTCTTTCATCAATCAATTCATCATCATCATCATCAAACAACACCCACAAAAACAATTCATCATCATCAAACAACAACCACAATAACACAGAAATTACACAGAAATTATTATTATTTTTTTTTTGTTGAAGAACCCAGTGCTTGGGTTCGATTGAACCCAGCACCGGGTTTGAAGGCCTTCGAACCCAACGCATGGGTCCATCGAACCCAGGGGATTTGGGTCCGTCGAAATAACACAGAAATTACACAGAAATTATTATTATTATTTTTTTGTTGAAGAACCCAGTGCTTGGGTTCGATTGAACCCAGCACCGGGTTTGAATGCCTTCGAACCCAACGCATGGGTCCATCGAACCCAGGGGATTTGGGTCCGTCGAACCCAGACGATCTGGGTTCGACAAACCCAAGCCGAACCCAGATTGCCTGGGTTCGTTGCCTGGACCTGGGTTCGTCGAACCCAAGCACAGGCGACGAACCCAGGCGAACCCAACTGGGTTCCTTGGAACCCAGAGCCTGGGTTCGTCGAACCCAGCGCCTGGTTCCTTGGAACCCAGAGCCTGGGTTCGTTCGAACCCATCTACTGGGTTCTTCGAACGAACCCAACGACTGGCGAACCTAAGCCTAACCTAGATCGCCTGGACCTGGGTTCGTCGAACCCAAGCACAAGCGACGAACCCAGGCGAACCCAGCGCCTGGTTCCTTGGAACCCAGAGCCTGGGTTCGTTCGAACCCATCTACTGGGTTCTTCGAACGAACCCAATGACTGGGTTCTGAGGAACCCAACGGCGGCTGCTAGGTTTCTAAGGGGGGAAGGGTAAAGAGAAAGGAAAAGAGAAGGGAAAAGAGAAGGAAAAAGAAAAAAAGAAAGAATTTTTTAAAGTTTATTTTTCATATTATTTTTATTTTTATATTATTTTTTGCCACGTGTATAATGTTTTGCCACGTCATCTTAGAACAGTGAATTAACAGCATGGGTAATGGGATTTTTAATGGAAGGACCAAATTGGGGTAAAAATGGTAAACAGTAGGGACCAAGTCAAGGATTTTTTGAGTTGAGGGACTTAATCGGGGGTCCATACAATAGTTGAGGGACCAAAAAGGGGGTTTAACCTAAATGATATGCTAGCCGCATGTTGGGCTAAATGATATACAAAGTTGCATGTTGAGCTAATGAAATGCAATGCCGCATGTTGGGCATAAATGAAATACTAGCCGCATGTTGGGCTAAATGAGATGCAAGCCGCGTGTTGGGTTGAATGATATGCAATGCTGCATGTTGGGCATAAATGAAATGCTAGCCGTATGTTGGACTAAATGAGATGCAAGCCGCGTGTCGGGCTAATGAAATGCAATGCCGCATGTTGGGCATAAATGAAATGCTAGCCACATGTTGGGTTAAATGAGATGCAAGCTGCGTGTTGGGCTAATGAAAAGCAAAGCCGCATATTGGGCTGATGAAATGCAAAGCTGCATGTTGGGTTGATGAAATGCTAGCTGCGTGTTGGGTTAAATGATATACAAGGTACGTGTTGGGCTAAATGATGTGCAATGCCACATGTTTGGCATAAATGAAATGTTAGCCGCATGTTGGGTTAAATGATATGTAAGCCGCGTGTTGGGCTAAATGCAATGCCGCATGTTAGGCATAAATAAATTGTTTTTGGAAATGTTATGAATGATTTTGGAAATAGTTTTATTTTGTAACCTTGAGATGCAGATCTTTTGGAAAAAGAATTTACCTTGGGTTTGCAATTGCCCATCAATTTGAAGTTTGTCTTGCATGCTTGCATCTATAATTGACTCAACCATATCACCAATAAAAGCTAGATTTTCTGAATACATCATATGTTAACTGCTCAAAATGATCATGCATGACAACAATTAAGTTCACTCCCTTGGTATTCTTGTTGCTTTGACTGTATGTGAGCTTTCTCTTCTTTCTTTACGAGTAGCATGAATAAAACAAAAGTTTTTTTTTTTTTTTTTATGAGGAAACTCTATATGAACATTATGTCAAGTAAGGACATGGTGATATGACCAAAGATAGACTTATTATGAGGAATTTGACATGAATAGATGACATGATTAGGATGAAAGGTATGGAATTCTTGAAAGAAGATGAAAAATCTGAAATTCTTGATAGAGAAGAATCTTTTCCTTTCTATCTCAACAAATTACAATAATTTCTTTCATAAATATAAAGATGATATCTTCTACTCATGGATCATTGAATCATTTGAATGGCTCAGCTTCAAATTTTTCAAAATTTGCCCCCAGCTTTTTAAAGCAATCATATATTTTTATCACTCAAATCACTCAAATCACATTGGAATTTCAAAAGTTTTTAGATCCTCTGATAAGGACTTTTTTCGGATTGTAATGTGGTCATTGGCTTGGTTAATTTGAAAGAAAGAATATTAAGTTCAAAATGCCCCCCATGCTATCTTCAACCTTGTGATTGTAATCATCAAAACATCTATAATTTCAAAACCTTCAAAAAGGACTTTTGCTTTGGGTTGTAATGGGGTTTGGGGTATGGTTATTGAAAGAATGGTCATTAAAAGCTCAAATTCCCAATTTGCCCCCAAGTTACATGCCTTTGCTAGGTGCTTTACTTATTTTGAACTCTCTTTTTTGGGTTTTCTTCCTTTTGCATCACTCAATTTTCTTCTTCTTCTTTTTTTTTTTTTTTTTTTCTCTATTTTAATTTTTTTTTGAATATTTTCTTGGGTTTTTCTCTCACAACCTTTTTTTTTTTTAAGAAGAAATTGCTCTAGGCATGTAACTAAATTCTTAGGTTTTAGAATGGGTATCCAAGAAAAGGACAAAATTTTTTAGGCTCAAATTGGTTAACTAAAGATAAGTCTCTTTGAGTTTAAGTGTTTGGGAGTTAGGGTAATCAAAGATGGCCTTTTATCCTTAGATTTTGAACTTTTAGCATTTTTGAATGATGACAATCACTTAACTTAAGCTAGCATACCCCTCACTTTGCACTCAACACTCCCCTGGTTCATGATGTGGGTATCAAAGAAATGATCATTTTGGCTTTTATTCATGATCTTTGCCTTTTATTTTGGCTCAAAGTGGGTAACTAGGGATGATATTTGTGTTTGGGAAAAGAAACATGGCCTTTCTTCATTGAACCTTCCCACCTTTGAATTCCTTTGTGGCTTTTCTCACTTTTTTTTTCACTCTTTTTTTTTTTTTTTTTGGATCATTGCCCTTGGATCTTAGACCTTGAATTCAAGTGTCATCAACATATCCTTAGAAAGAAGAGATTTAATTCATCAAGAAGCAAAGAATTATTTGAATAAGAAATGAGTAAGGAAGTTGTGTAATGGAATTATGAAAACATGAAAGATGAGGGAGTAAGGAGGAGAGGAGATGAATTTTTGACATTATCTTCAATTAAGAGTAACATTTAGAAAATGTCAAACATATAGAAAATTTTGATGAAATTAAGGCCATTTTCAACTCCAACCATGATTTTGAGCAGAATCAATGATGGGTTTTGATTTACACATACTACAAATGATAGAAAAACAAAGATAACTAAGATAGAGCATTACTTCAAGAATCCTTTAGGTTTGAACTTGATCATTGCATTGCAAGTTTTGTTGAGGACTTGTCATTGCTTGTGATTTAGACTGAGCAACTATTGAATTCCAAGCATATAAAACAAACTTTCTTCTTGTGAGCAATTTTGAAGGAAATAAAAAAAAAAATGTGAACTAAAGTAATAAGAGAATTGAATTTGAAAATTTTTTTTTATGCTTTAAGAAACAAAATTTGGATCTAAGTTTTTTTTTTTTTTTTGTATGAACTAATGAACATGCAAGGATGATGAAAATTTTGTAATACAATGTAAATTTAGTCTACATATTTTGATGAAGTTCAAT